CCCTAAGCGGAAGGATGCTTAAGTCTGGGAGTTTGACGCTGCAGTGAGCCATGATCATACTTCTGCATTCCAGCCTGGGTGACAGAGCAAGACCTTGTCTCTTAAAAAAAAAAAAAAACAGGCTGGGTGCGGTGGCTCACATCTGTAATTCCAGCACTTTGCGAGGCCAAGGCAGGCAGATCACTTGAGGTCTCAGGAGTTCAAGACCAGCCTGGCCAACATGGTGAAACCCTGTCTCTACTTTAAAAAAAAAAAAAAAATTAGCCAAGTGTGGTGGTGGTTGCCTGTAATCTCAGCTACTAGGGAGGCTGAGGCAGGAGAATCACTTGAACCCAGGAGGCAGGGGTTGCAGTGAGCCAAGATCGCACCACTGCACTCCGACTTGGGCAACAGAGGGAGACCCCAACTCAAATAAAGGAGGCTCTGGAGAATCTGCTTTTTTCATTTTTCCAAGTTGGAGAAGCTGCCTGCATTCTTCAGCTCATGGGCTCCTTTCATCTTTACACCCAATGATGGCTGGTCGTGTCTTTCTCACAGCACACAATTCCTACACTGACTTTTATGCCTTCTTCCTCATTTCAGACCCATGTGATTACACTGGGTCTAACTGGACAATCCAGTATAATCCCCCTATGTTAAGGTCAGCTGAGTAGCAACTTTAATTCTACCTGTTAATTTAATTCCCCTTGCCATGTAACATAGTACATTCACAAGTCCCAGGAACTGACATGTGGGTATTTTGGGGGGAGCATTATCCTGCCTACTTTAGATGTTGAGGTCATTCAAGAGGAAAATGATAGTTTTGTTAACATGTGATGTTAGAACCACTGAATTTTCATCTGGAAAATAATAACTTTGAACATTACCTCATATACACAAAAACTAACTTCAAGTGGCTGATGGACCAAAAATAAAAACTAAAACTATACAACCCTTAGAATAAAACTTAGGAGAAATTCTTTACAACACTAGGGGAGACAAAGATTCTTAGAAAGACCAGAAAGCATGAAGCACATTTTAAAGGTGAGAAATTGGATTTCATCAAAAGTAAAAACTGCTTTTTGAAAGACATCATGAAGAAACTGAGGGTTGGGCACAGTGGCTCACACCTATAATAACACAGCGAGACCCCCATCTCCACAAAACACAAGAAAGTTAGTTGGGCGTGGTGGTGCACACCTGCAGTCCCAGCTACTCAGGAGGATCTACTAAACCCAGGAGGTCAAGGCTGTAGTGAGCTGTGTTCACGCCACTGCACTCCAGACTAGGCAACAGAGCAACACCCTGTCTCAAAAAAAAAAA